AGATTTCCAGAGGCCTTCTAAAGAATTATGGTATTTAAAGAAACACCAAAATCTGTATCAGTCAGAGTTCTCCAAAGAAACAAAATTAACAGGATGTATATATAGAGAGATATATTTATTTATTTATTTATTTATTTTTCCTTTTTGTCTTTTTTCGTGACCGGTAATGGGATTGCAACCCTCGGTGTCGCGCCTGTACCGCGACCGGCAATGGGATCGCAACCCTCGGTGTTGCGCCCTCACCGCGCTCAACCAGTGAGCGGACCGGTCTCTATATGGGATCCGAACCCTCGGCGGGAGCACCACCACACTCCCAAGCGCCGCACTCTACCAAGTGTGCCACCGGGCCAGCCCTAGAGAGATTTATTTTAAGGAATTGGCTCATGCAATTATGGAGGCCTGGCAAGTCCAAAATCTGCTGAGTAGTTCAGCAGACTGGAGACCCAGGACTGAGTGAAGCCGCGGCTCACGTCCGAAGGCCCTCTGTGGGCAGAAGTCCTTCTGGGGGGGCTCAGTCTTATTCTGTTCAGGTCTTCAACTGATTAGATGGGGCCCACCAGTTTAAGAGGGCGATCTGCTTTACTTAGAGTTTACTGACTTAAAAGTTGAAATCATCTAAAAAATACCTTCACAGCAGCATCTACAGTAATTTGCCACATAACATTAAACATCACAAGTCCACCCCTTGTCAACTTGGCACACATTTACATCTCCTTATTCCGCTCCTGCTCTCAAAATAAGGACAGTAACAAGGTCATACTTTCACCTAACACGATACAGGTGTCCTGTGCACAACCAAAAACACCAGAGTCCGTGGGTGGTGTTCATGCTTCCCCGTGACATTCCATAATTTAAACACTGTGATGTAAAGTTAGCAATTCTTAAGTACTGAGGCATGAAGTTAATGCACCGTATGTTACATGATAAGAAGGGGAGGGGGGGAGAAAACGGAGGTGTTTGCTGGTTGTGTCTCTGTGTGTAGACACAGCCACAGACACTCATGGTGACAGGAGGAAGTGCTTACACCACTTCGGCTGTCACTTCTGCCACTTGTCACATGGTGGTGGCGGTGTTCACAGCTGCCTGCCTCAGTGGAAGATGTTCTGCGCCCCCTTGACCTCAGCCGGTCATGGCTCTTGGCCTGGTGGGGTGACCCAAGCTGTCATTTCTGAAGGGTCTGAGCCATTCGCAGTCCTGCCTGGATTGGGTTGTTGTAGTTTTCCTCGACCTTAGTCACAGGCATCATGGTGCTAAGAGATGCCCCAAGGGATTTCCCGTGTCCCAGACATTCTGTTCTTTACCTTCATTGTGGGGCAGCGGTTCTGTTTCCCCTTGGTGGTCAGGATCAGTCACCCCAGCTGGCACAGTAACTCCTTTCTTTGCCTCTTGATCCAGAGGCACAAGGAGGCTGAAGTGGCCCAGCCGGGTGGCAGCCTTCACCTCCAGCTCAGTGGAGTCGCTGTCGTAACTTAAGTTCATCTTCTAAGTATGTATCTGTATAGGGGATACGTTTATTCTAGATGCACACAGTATGCAGATTAATGCACCTGTGATAAATAAGGTGTGCAGCAGAGATAGCAAGCTGTGTCATTTGTCTTCAGGTTAGGCAGGTGGGGCTCTCCAGGTGAGGGCCCCTCGGCCTCAGGCCTGCGTTGATTCCTTCTCTTAAAAAAAAAAATGCTAGGGCCGGCCCGGTGGCGCACTGGGTAGTGCGCCGCTTGGGAAGCGCGGCGGCGC